GACCTGTCCAGGTGTCCCCTGCCTTCACCCAAAGGCAACTGGGACAGGGTCCAGCCCCACCCTGACCCTGATAAGGAACAAGGAGGACAGGAGGAGGGTTTTTCTTCATAGCAGGAAACAGACATTTAATTATAAAACATGATTTATTTTATGCTAATCTGAGTCAGTTTAATGTTGTTTGTAAATATATTTGACAGTTTTGTAGAAATTAAGACATTTGAAATGTTTATTCAAAATAAACCTGCTCCTTATGACTTCTGTAACATGTTTTGAATAAAATATTATCAGTAAAAACCTCAAATCATGTCATGTCTAATAATCATTATGTTATGTTCTGTCTGGTTTCATGTTTTATTTTGATTTTATTACTTTATTTTATTTTTATTACTATTATTTAAAAAAATAGTCCACAAGAAGGCTCCAACCTGCAAAGCTGATCTGGCAACTGCTATCAAAGAGAGTTGGCACCAAATTGATGAAGAATACTGCTTATCACTCATCAAGTCCATGCCTCAGAGACTGCAAGTCGTTATAAAAGCTAAAGGTGGTGCAACTAAATACTAGTGATGTATTTTGAATGGTCTTTTGTTTATGTTTTTCATGATTCCATACTTTTTTTCCTCAGAATTGAGTGATTCCATATTTTTTCCCTGTGCTTGGTCAATAAAAGTAACARTCACTGACTTCCACAATGTTTTCTCTTCATTTCTTTGAGTGTTCCTGAAAGCCAACAAGTTGCACTTTGGAATGACCTTATTATTGTATCCATTGATACACAATTGAAAAAATATTTAAGTAAAAAATTAAAATCATGTATTAGCCCTGCAGTGTGAACATATAATTTACCTACTTCCTGATTCACGTAGCGCCTTCCCTTAATACCACCGGTGCCCCCCAAGGAGGGCACAGTTTGAAAACCCCTGAACTAGACGTACCTGGTAGGTGTTGTTCATGAAGTGAACTGGGATACTGAAAGGCAGTGAGTGGTGGTAGGGGTTTCTCAGCAGGATGGAAACTATCTCCATCCGTGAAGGTTTGGCCTCCCGCTCTCCATTCTGCAGCGTTCGCTCAACAGATCTCTGACAGTAAACAGCATACTTCCCCACCTCAGTCCTGTGGGATATGAAATAAATAAAAACATATGTTAAGTGAGCAAGGCTTCAGAAAACATCCTGATGAATTGAGTCTGTTAGTGTCTCACCTGGGGTCTGCATTGAGCTGAAGGTACTGTCTCAGGTACCACAGGAAATGTTGTTGAGGAAGAAACAGGGCAACACACAAAGACAGAAGCTGCCAACACTACAAAAAAAATAAGGAAAAGAAATGACCTTAATATTGTTGTACTAACATTAAACCTACTTCAGCATATTATGTGCTATTTTAACCATTCATAAATCAAAACATTCAGCTCGATCAGGAAGTCTGCCATAATGTTTGTCTTGTGTAACTTTTATATTTTTCAAAATGTTTAACTTTGTTTAAAATAAAATAACCATAATAATAAAATCTCACCAGTTCCATCAAAAACATTGTTCTCTTTGAAAGTGACTTTAGTAAACCAGCTCTATTTTTTGTCTTCTTATACTAATTTCAGATTTTAGCTACAGTTCTGCTATGTCCTGATGTACCTCAGTAACCCAGGTAGAAAAATTAAGTAGGACCTCTAGACGGGTTCTTCTTCTTCTGGACAGTTTTGCTACTTTTGGTTTTTAGCTCTTTGAGTTACCATTGTGCCCCATTTAACCTTTAATGAAAGTTTTGTATGAAGACAAATTAGTATCAAAAAGATCTGGGCATGCACAGCAACATTCAAGCACGTGCACATCATAATTTGAGCGAGCAACCAGATTCACATGCACACAAATCACATCTGCTCAAATGAAAATCTGACTCTTGAGTTTTTCTGCCACTGCAGATTCACATGTGTAATGCTGCGTTCAAGGCTGATGAAAAGCTGCGACATCTGAGCCTTGCCAGATTCACTGGGTTAAAAGGAAAATACATTTTCTGACTTGGAATAATAGCTCATAAACCCTATATTAAAACACATATGCTTACATTGCATTACAAATGGATGGAAAAAACAAATAAGAATAACCTACCCATAGAAAGATCAGCTGTACAGTCCACAAAATGWAACAGTTTTGGAACCCAGTAAAAACCCATTAAATTTGGTAAGGCCTCATTTATAAAGGACTGCATAGAATTTATACTAAAAGTGTTCACCACTCTGGTCCCCCGTCCTTTCCTCCTACTTTGCGCTGCATCCTGTGCTGTTATCTGCGGCTGACACACAACCCCCCCCCGCCCAACACACACACCCTCTGCGTACACACATAAGAAATACGAATTTTGAAAAGTGAGCCTTATACCTTATTGCTGTCGTGCTCAGTGTTGAAATTTCTTGTCGGGGAGGGGTCTGTGGATCAGTGTCAAATAAGGAGGGGGGCAGCCAGGAGGGAGATGGATGGAGATGTGTGAACTTTTATTTAAAATTTAAGTTGGCTTAGAAGGTCYTTTTTATTTGAAAGGTCCATATGGCTCACCAGCAGAAGCATTAAAAATACTGTTAAGAAGGTTTATGATAAAAGTGATCTAAAATCTAAATTTGATTATGAAGTGAAATTAAATATCTGATAGGAATCATGATGCATTGTGGCTATAATTCCTCATTTCACCATCTGTGTTGCCAGATTCCCATCTCCAAAATGAGCACATGCATGAGTCAGAGCTGTCCACAAAATGTAACACTTTGGAACCCAGTAATGTCAAGGTAAGCGTTTGTGCTTTGATATAGCGTTTATGAGCTATTGTGCCAAGTCAGAAAAGTTTTTTCACCTACAACCCAATAAATCTGGTAAGGCTCAGGTGTCCCAGTATTTCACTAACTTTGAATGCAGCATTACATGTGTGAGTCTGCAGTGGTAAAAAAAAGTGGTAAAAATCAAATTTATATCCAAAAAGATTTGAGTGAGCGTGCAGATCAGCTCGCTCAAATCTTTTTGATACTAATTTGTCTCCATAGTTTTGCTCCTTTTAGCTACTGGTCTGCTGACTTTAGCCTCTGTTCTGCTTCTTCAGTAAATCTCAGCAGTCATTCTACATTCACATATTTCTGTAGAAAATGTTTTTTTCTAGTTACTTTACTTTCTGTTCATGTACCAAAACTTGTAGCTCTGTCAGGATTAGTGCGTTATGATGACCGCTAACAGTGTGTCACACAACATAGACCAAACAGTTGGTTATTCCTGTTCTTTAGGCTAACCTGTGTGAGGGAGTAGTTGTGTGGTGTCCGCTGGTTGGTCTGTTTGATCAGCTGGCAGTACATTTCATTCTGCAACTCCGGATGGGTCAAACACACCTGCAAAGCATTCTGAGCCAGTGAAGTGTGGTAATCGACAGAAGGGGACTCGACCAGCACATTGATGAAGAGCTGACAGGACTGCAAAGAAGGAAATGTTTATTTATTTGCTACAAGCAGTTGGAGAAAAAATCACTAAATCTGTAACTTGGAAAGCAGCACACAGTGTAGCTCAAACCACAGATTGTCGCAAAGAGGTGGAGAAAAAAGGCATTTGACTTCAGCTTTGTTTCTTCTCATATCACCTGCCACCAAAGGTTAAAAGAAATGTTTTTACCTGTTTCTGTGTGTGCTATCTGTAAAGTTTGCAAAATATCCCATGAACCACTGAACCACCATGAGTCGACAATTCTGTGGAGTTGAATAAAACTTCCAGAAAGTAATCACTGTGTGTACATCTACAAAATCTAAATTTGGAATCAACCCCATTCAAGATGTCCACCATAGCTAAGCAGCTTTAGCAAACACAGAACTGGCTATGAGTTAGTCAGTGGTAGGTGTAGCAGTATCCCCAACTTACACTTCTGAGAACTAACTGATCGCATGAGATGGTTTCAAAACTTTACCATAACTATTAGTTAACGGCTGTCACAACCAAATGACTTCAGAAAACATAAAAATGACTCTGACCCAACCAGTTTTATAAAAAAATAAGCTGTAATTTGGTGGGGAATTAGCTGAGAGCATGAGTGCAATTGGCATTAGGGACGGGTGTGACACGACCCCCGAAGATTCTGCTCTGTCCCCCCGATACTGTCCCTACATAGGGTGAGAAAAATTTCAGATCAAAACTGAAGATGAATACTGTTAGACTAATTTATGTTGCGGTGTCCGTTTAGAGTATGTGTCCTGTGAATAACTGTGTCCACGAATGTCGGAATTTCCGAGACACAAGTCAAAATCGGATCCCCAATTTGGAAAGTCGGATTAATCTGATTAGCCTGATTTAAATTCATACTACTTGCTACTTACGTAAAGAGTAATTACACGTTTTTTGTACATTTGTAAGACTGGGATGCGATGGGAGCACTCAACAACCAAAAACACAGTAGGTTGCCTTCAGGTCCAGGCTGCCCTTGTAAAATAAATCTGTGATCTCAATGGGATTTTCCTGGTTAAATAAAGATAACATAAAATAAAAAACTTTGAGGTTAGGATATGGAAGTGACTTTCAGTGTAAATGAACACACCACTCCCCTGTTGAATTTACCAGATGTGGAAGATAATAATTTTGTATTATTAGGTAGCCTGGCTCTTGCCTTCCTACACAGTTCTGCTCAAGTCTAGTTTTCCTTCTCTGCTCTGTCTGGGATTTCTCCCATTGACAAGGATTTCTCCCATAGAATTTTAACAAGGCCAAGCAGCGAACAGAAGGAGGAATTTTGAACGACAACGTAGATTGTCTGCGCAGTTTTAGTCTGCTTGTAGTTTAGCAATGGCAGTTGAGAAAAGGAATGAAGCCAGTCTGTGTTGACAAGGCTTTCAAATTAAGTTAAAGTTGTCAGAAAGCCTCCAGCTCTCATTTACAGCTACTTCCTTCGGCTCGGTACTTCTCTCTTCCCAGTAGTAGATGTGTTTACAGCGCATGCAATTTCCAATTAGCTTCTTAGCTTAGCCTCCTTCACAGTCGAGCTGGTGCACTGTATATGTCACAGCCAAACATTAGTGACTGGGTAAATCAGATCCAATTGTTTTAAACTTCAGCAGAGTCCATGCCTCCAGTGAGCAATCGTTTCCCAATAGCCAAGAGTCCAGACCCTCTGTACGAAGCAAAGTGTAGAGTAAGAGTCTGGTTTTAAACAGGCTAATTGTTAGGTGGAACAGTAAAATGTTGTTTTTTATTTTTATATATAATATTGCTTTATTAAGAAGTTGTTAAGTAAAAATCATAAAATTTAAAATGTTAATATTTCCAATTAAAAGAAATTCGTAATATCATGTCATTGTTTGTCATTTACAATATGAGTTTCATTTACAGTATACAGATTTTTATGTAAATATCTTGCTGTTTACACTTGATTTCACACAAAAATGTTAAAATAAAACAAAGTAGAGGCAAGTTTTGGTGGGTAACTGGTATTTCAGATAAATATCAGTAGTAGTAGTAGTTCCGTAATGTAGGGCTAGTGTTGATTGAGAAGGTGTTCAGTGTGTCATTCATAATGCATACTCCCTGCACTGCACATTTTGCAACATATTTGCCTAAATCTTTAACATGAACTTTTACAGTTAATACTCTCTGTCTGTTAGCAAAATATCTCACTGAAGTAATCTTGTGAGGTTCGGACAGGAACGAAGCCAGGGTGCAGGCAGGCTTTCAAAGTTTAACAAAAAGTTT